ATGTTTTTTGTTTGAATCATTTAGACACTTAAAGCGATTGTGCATGAGTTTTATTTGATATCAATATATGCCGTAGTCACTGACCAAAGTATTCCGGGATCGGGAAATTTTTCTGATTGGCCGTTTCCGGGATTTCTACAAGAGAATTCTCAGATTTCAGGGTCAGAATCCATAATAATGTTACACAAAAATGAGAATGATCCGGGTATAAATGTAGAATTTTACTAAGGGTGCCAGAAGAAACGATACTGACAACAGACTCCGTCCATAGCTGCATCCGGATCCAGTTTATCAACGAGTTTGAAGGACTGCTACTGGCTATGGACACATGTGAAAGACAAGCGGAATCTGTGTTTTCAATATCTATATCGGTATTATTTGTACCCTTAGTAAAATTGTACATTCATACCCAATAAAAGTACCGGATCCATTCGGAACCTTTTTTGCGGAACACTAATCCATGATCGGTTAGGTCAGCATTTAACATTAAATAATACCAACTATTTTTATCGTGCATATCGATAAAGTGGAAAATTATTATTCGGGTATAACGGACAATCCGCGCTTCTCACATGGACAAATATTTGCTCGATTAGCTACGCATTTCGGCTAAAGCGGCCCGGGCCGAGTTACAAAAACAGTACAACCTACAAATGTACAAAACTTGAGTCATCACTCATGTATATGGTTAATAATATATATATATAATATATATATATATATAGCACAAGTCAATAATTTAAAGTGATTTAATACCAATACGTACATATTTGATACTGATTTCAACAAAAATTGCATTATTAATTTTTTTTTTAGTAAGGTAGTAAATTGAAACATATCAAAATTGGTTTTATGAAGATTCCATTATCGTATTTGATTAGCCAACCCAATCCAAATCGCTATAAATAAAATTACTAAGACATATATATATACCTGCAAATAATATGAGCCGAGAACAAAAAAATTCATAATTGATTTTTTTTTTAATAGACTGATTGGCGGTAGATGTTTACAATATATAAAGTTTTTTACAACAATTACAATTCAGACGTTTAATTTGTTTAATCGCATAGCATTGTAACTTAAAAAACCGGATAAAAGAATAGTCAACTTGATAATTATAACAATTGCAGTACGAGATGTTATATATATCATAAAGCAAATAGATAATATCGTACAATGTTCAGATGAATGAATCCTAAAACACTGTTATTTTATAGGAAGTATTACATACGTACAAAACGCAAAAATGCTAAATGCTAAAGAACGATCGTTGTTACACAAGCACATTTACCAAATCAAGTCAATTTTTCTTTTTTTGATTTGCGTTGTTGATTTTCTACATGCTTAGTAGAACTAACAAACTCTTATTTATCCATTATTTGCGAATAATGGATTTATCTTTTCTCATTATGCCTTTTGCTAATACTCAATAATAGTTAACAATCAAAACGATGGATTGGATTGTCTTTAAGAAAGCTTCATTTTTGCGACTAATTATGTCACATGATCATTCGACCGAATGCAGATAAACAAATATGTTACACATTACAATTCTGTAACACATAAAATTCATTGTCAGCCCCTCGAAAAATCATTTATTATCCAAGTAGCATAACTCCTGTCGCTATATAACAACACTTCTCTCGAGTTAAAATTCATATATTTTTAAAAGATCTAGTTTTTTCCCTTGCATTTTTTTATTTTTTTTTCCCACCAATTTCATATTCGTCATTTTCGATCATTTACGACTCATTTAGTCAAGTCTAATAAATCTAATTCGATTACATAACTATCTTCCTCCATATCTGTATAATTACTTTATAAAGTAATTTATATCTGCAATAAAATAAACTGTATATACATATAACTTTACGCGATGGTTGATGATTTTTTAAGTCAACATCACTCATCATATCTTGAAAACCAAGATGATGATTTTTATACTGAAGATGTTGAATACACAGATGACGATTGGCAATGGGAAGAAAGACTTCGTCTCATAAATGAATTTTCAAATTGGACTAGTGGTGATGATGGATTAGACAGATTTCTTCAACAAACTCAATTAGAAACGCCGTGAGTAATCACTTTTTTTTCATAATTTTATACACAATAACTCTCGATATATAATACGTATAATGGTTCAAATTCGCTATATCATGAATTTATTAAATTTATCAATAAATTCATTATATTTTTATGGTATGGCTTAAACTTTGCCCCGTTATATCGAGATTTTATTTAATCTCCACTATATTAATGGTCTACTATATCAAGAGTATATTGTATATTATACATTTTCTTCGGTTATTTATATTCACAATGTTAATGAAGTATTTTTGCTTATATTATTGTATTTAAAGTGATCCTCGTTATCACATGAAATGGATACCTTTTGATAGCTTTAGTGATATAAAATTTGTTGCTAAAGGAGGTCATAGTTCTGTATTCTCAGCAACTTGGTTAAATGAAACAGAAAGAGTTTGGGACGGTGCTAGACAAGCATTTATAGAAAAGCCTCTTATAGTTGCACTAAAGTCTCTTAAAAATTCTCAACAACTCAGTGAAGAATTCTTGGATGAGGTTCGTTTTTAAATTACATTATTTATTATTTGTTACATATAATTATTATCAATTAACCTGTGATTTTTCTTGTTTGAATGATAGTTTAAACGTCATGGTAGTCTCAAACTAGATGGCTGTGGTTACGTTGTTCATTGTCATGGTGTGACACGCAATCCAGAAACACAAGAATATATGATGGTTATGAATTATGCTGAAGATGGCGATCTTAGACATTATATACAAAAAAATTTAAGTACCCTTCGTTGGAAGGATGTCGTTGAAATGTTATGTAGCATCGCAATGGGTCTTCTAAATGTGCATAAAAATGGTACATTCCATAAAAATTTGCATTGTGGCAACATTTTAAAATTTTATAGTTGTAACATTGCAGATTTCGGTTTGTGTGGTCCCAGTAATCCTTCAGAACCACGAGGGGTATATGGATCCTTACCATTTATTGCACCAGAAGTTCTAGCTGGTGGTTTATTTTCTGCAAAAGCTGATATATATAGTTTCGCTTTTATAATGTGGGAATTATCTTCTGGTCGACCTCCTTTTTCGGATAGACCGCATGACCATTCATTAGCATTAGAAATTTGTCATGGTTTTAGAGAGGCCGTAGTACCCGGTACACCATTATTTTATGAACAATTGATGGTAAAATGCTGGAATGCTGATCCATCATTGAGACCTGATGCTGAAGAAATTGTTGATATATTATTGTCTCCATATGGTTATCAACGTCGTATTCTTGGTTTAGATGAATTTGTCATAAATACCGCAAATGACATTGACGACGTTGATCAGTTTGAACAAACCCTAGCATCACGCATATCAAATACAAATTACCCGGTCTCTCCGGACGTACATCCTTTTGCATTTTATAATAGTCGGTTCATATTATTTCCAAATTTACCAACACCACAGAATTCATTCGTAGCTACGGATCAACCAATAATGAAATCATATCTTGATTGTATGTGTATTGAATGTATTCATAAAGTTTTCATTTCTGAAGTTAATATTAATCACTCCTATTTCTCCTTTTCAGTCAATGATAAATCTCAACAATGTTCTCTACAGTATGATGATGAAATGGCATACGAAGGTTTGCATATATTAAAATAAGATTTGAATTAACAAACTATAAATGTGATGAATATTAATTAAAAATTACTTTCTTTTTGATTTTTTTTTAGAATATGACACTAATTATCCGCCAGAATTTTCTGGTAAGTTATACTTATTATTATATAGCATTTATATATACATTCATATATTACTAGTTACTAACGTTTATCTATAAAACAGATATAGAAAGTGACAACGAAAGTGAAAACGAACAATATATTCCACCTCCACCACCTATATCAATGCTTCGCAGAAAATCGCTCGCTCCGATTCCATTGGCAATAAATTAATGAACGCATAGCATTAACTAGCTTTTTTTCATTACATATTTTTCGGTTGGCAAATTCATCTTGTTATATATAGAATATATTCACACAAATGACTCTTGTCACTTGTGCATGTATAAATATACCACTTGCAATACATACATATGTAGAAACTTCATTAACAACTGTTGACATAGACACAAAAAATCTCAATATTAGTACAATTTCATTATTATTTGTTGTATAAAAGGTTATTCCTTTTCAATTCATCATATTTACAAATTTCATGTTCGTACAGTATCGAATTTTTTTGCATTATATGTTTTAGTTGTTTTTGTTTTTATATTTTAATTTTAGACGATTCACTATCCTTTATTTCCTTGAAATTTTTGATTACTATTGGCATCTACTTCATCAAAAAAAAAGGTTATGCTATATTTTTCAAACTTTTGAAGAAATATATATGTATATTTTTTTATCACTTAAAACTCACAAAAAAAAAAGAAAAGAAAAAAGGAAGAAATAAAAAAAAACCTATTATATTAAACGTTAAAACATTGTTAATACGAATATTATTTATGATAAAAGACTTTTAGATGTCAAATAGAAATCTTTTATATGGCGATAAATCGTATCTGCGAACGACAAAAATGGTAATGGCAAGTTATATAACGATAACGATAATATCGGACACAAATTACGCATTAGGGACTTTTAGGGACACGCGCTTATGTATAAGTACTATTTTCACGAGCCAACAGTTACCTTGGACCGATAAGTATATTCATAGATGCTTAATGACCAGATGTTTTGGTTATTATAATAAAGCTAGCGTTAGTAATTTAGAATGCATGTTAATTTTTTTTGCAATTCCTAATGCCAGAAACGCGTTCATTGTTCGTATAACATGTATTGAAAAAAAAATAAATCAGTAATAAAATATGTCCAATTCATTTAATATTACCAATCAAGAGATTAAGAACAAGACAATTTTATTAATTAGAATTCTCTTTTTTTTTTTATTTTTTTACTAAAACTCGTTAAATATGACAAATTAACTAGTCAATGAGATTCTAATTTTCAGAATTTGAACCAAACTTCATTATGGCAAATAGTAAGTGTAATTTTTTAATGAAAAAGATAATATATTTAAATTTTATTAGTAATTTTTTACTTTGCCTTAATCTTTTGATTTTTCAAAAGCAACGGGTGCATCTAAAGATCCTTTTGACACAAAAGCCAATACTTTATAAATTTCACCCATTGCCGAGGGATGAACAAGTCTTTCAGTTGAAGATATTAAATCTTTACGTTGTGCGGGCAATGCATTTTTTAACAACATTGATAATCTAGCTTTTATACCAAGTGACTGAAGAAATTTCGATTGGGTTATAGGACCATACGTGTCGACTAATAACAAATATGCTATTTAATAAAAATGAAAAAAATATAATATCTATATGCAGAACTATATACAGAACCGAAATTACCTAAATCTGTTACTGATTCTTTTAGATAACAAAAATTCACATCGGCACTTAAATCTGTTTGCCCTGGTTCACTCAATGGATGAACGAACTCATGTCGTTTTATTGCCTAAAAAAATTGATAATACGTAAAAAAATTTGTATTCCCAAATTAATTTAATCATTAAAGACATTATTTAACAAAATCCTCACCCTCAAAGTATTTCCTTGCATGAAATCTTGTCCATAATCAATAATAAGTGATGCACCTCCATTGTCTTTGATATGTTTTGCAATTTGCTTAGAAATTTTCATCGAATCTGGGGATATTTCAATTCTATCACCAATCTTGAACTTCTCATATGCTAATGATCCAGTTAAAGCAATAGATGCTTTTGTAGGACCTGATGCCACAATTAAACGAAAATTATGACTAATCGATACGAAAATAAATAAATAAATTATTATCTCAGTAAATAAAATTGAAATAAATAATATAAAATTGGTTTGGTAATATTGCCTATTTTCTGTATCATCAATGTCAACCATAACCTCACGCCAACCATTTAAGGTGCACTATAAATATTTACATAATTATTATTAGTTTGACATGCACTACTCAAAAAACAACACATTTTTAAAAATTATGATTACTTCAAAAAGATGAATTGGTAATGCATCAAAAAATTCATGTGCAATAATAATTGTCCATTTATCTATTAAATTATTTATAAACCGTTAATTTAATTTATAACAAATGGATTAACTCAATATATAAATAGAAATTTCATATAATACCAGAAATTTCATTAAACGAATCATGCCAAAAAAATTTCAATCCATCAAATTTGCTTCTTGATGAGCTGCATAATTTTTGATATTGAATTTCTCGCAGCTTTGGACTTACCTCAATTAAATTTACTTCACATATTGATCGAAAACAATCATTAAAGTTGGATATTGCCTAGTAAAAATTTGTTTGATCAGAATAATACTAATATCTTTACATTTAGAAAAAATTAATTATTGTTTTTTATTTTTTTTTATTTTACATTAAGCATATCATAAAGTAATGTTCCTCTTCCTGGACCCAATTCTACAATCTGGATTTTGTCTGGTTTTCCTTGACTTTGCCATTGTGTCAAAAACCATATTCCAATCAACTAAGAATTATATAGATGAAGATTTTATTTATTAAGAACAATAAAAATGCTAACATAATGAATTGGAATTAGTAATCACCTCACCAAATATCTGACTAATTTCGGGAGATGTAACAAAATCTCCTCCTCTACCAAATACGTCACCCGCCATATAGTAACCACCATGAGAATTTGTTAATACTTCTCTCATATATTGCGCAATTGATATAGGTCCTGTTACCTAATTAAATTTTTTTTTCAATTAATGTTTTTAAATGAAATGTTGATAGATCATTTCTTTATCTAAAATTACCTTAATCGCTTTCTTAAGATTATTTATTAGTTCATTATTTTTTGTCGAATAGCGATGTTTTGAAATATTAATGAATAGTGGCAGTTTACGCAAAACTCGGTACATTGTTCTGAATTTTCATTTTTTACGATTTATAACACTTTTAGTTACTTTTAATTACTTTTAATTACTTTTAATCACTTTTAATCACTATCGTAATAATTTCTCAAAAAGATTTTTTTATCTTATTTTCGTGAAACACATTTGAAGTCACATGTATTTAGAATATTTTGTAATGTAGCACAAGAACTAACTATATGACGTGTTTTTTTTGGTAATATAATACGTAGTTCAAAAATACTATGTATAAATAAATTAAGCACAACATTATTCATACACTAACTCAAAATAAAAACCATTGACTTCTAAATCATTATAGCTATACATATTGTTCCAATGCTCATCTTCATGAATTGTCTTTATTGAGAGTACCTAGCCATTTTTATGCATGTTACCGAATACATGATACACAAATTTTGCTCACCTCCTATCGGAGATGAACAAAATTTGTGTACGTATCATGTCCCAATAAGATGCAGAAAATGGCTAGGAGAAATATACAATATCGGGGATTGGATCATAATCGCTGATTTATTCACAGCGGATGTTACGTCATAACGCGGTGGCCTTTGGTCACCGTTATAATCAATAATATGACCAATAACAAGTACTACTTACCTGTTATACAAACTAGCTAGTTAAACCAGCTAGTCACGTATAAATTGTATTGTAAAATTCAAAAGTGGTCAGACTACTTAAAATCCCTAGTTCCTGTAATTGCGGAAAATTTGTTCCGAAATTTTCCAAATATGGCACTAGAAGTCTATACCTTATTTTCGTGTTTCGGGACGTGCGTTCGAATTGTTTTTATGCCAAACATAATAGATTTGATATTACGTATAGTATTGGCTATATATACAAATTTTTAATTAGCTTCAGATGTGGTAAAGGCGCGCTATTATGAGACGCACATGGGCGTTATTTGAGTCAAATATGCAATTTTTCAACGCCCATGTGCGTTATTACGCGCGTAAATACGATATTTGACAACCACAACTTGTTTCAAATTTTTCAAATCATTTTAACTTTTTATGCAGGTGGTTTTTAATAATTTTTTTTAGGAAGCATTTACATTTACATACTGTGTCCAATCAAGTATCCCTGCACTTGTAACTTGCTTAAGTTTTTCAACAATAAAAAATTTTTAAATTAGTTTTGTCCCTTTATTATATAATCTAATTTTATATTGCTCAATTTATTTGGAAAGTTTTAACACTGTAATATTCCTCATACTTGTACTTTTCAGCAGTCATGCATGTTTATTTTTTCTAAACTATTAGTAAATCAAAAAGAAGCATTAAAACAAACCTTTATCAGTTTACATTGTTACGTGTATTATCCTTTGCAAATTATTAAATATACAAGGAATTTCAAGGAAACGCTTTACAAGATAAGGCCTGTAGAAAATGTTTCTCGATGAAATTAATTCATTTATTATTAGACTTAGGTTCTAATTGAATGCAGAAATTTTAGCATCTAATTCCTACCCTCGAAATAGATAACTGTTCATAACATAATACATATTCCACTCATTGATTATCTCAAGTATTTAAGCCAAAAAGATTTTATTTTACCGTATTTCACTGTTAAATTTAAATCTATTCAACTATTTTAATACAGTGCCCATTAGAAAAGAAACCCATTAAGTTCAAATGTGTTACGTCAGATTATTCAAGCAAGCATGATCTCAAATATCTTAAACGTGCAAAAGCAAATAATAGGAAAAATGTAAGTGCATTTAGTCATAACGAGAAAAAGGTTATTCGAATTATTCGAACAACTGATTTTATTAAATTAGTAAAGACAAATCATTGTATCAATGACTTGTTAAACGTAAAACCTATCATCGATAAAGTAAATGTTTCGTTATCTAACATATTAAATGTACACTCTTCAAAAAAATAAAGCATATACAATACGTGAAAACTTATTCAGCTTCTGTATCCCAGATGCGTAATTGTTCTTGTCCATCCAAATAAGGCAGACTAATTAGACCTTCAAATTCACCTAACTTCATCTCCTTTATTGAATCTTAATCGAATACAACGAATTATTATAACTTGCAAAAGAAAGATACAAATTGATGCGGAAATTTATTTATCAATACCTTCAAATTGTTTATCTTTGTCATAAAGCTTTGAGATACGATAATATGTGTTTTTTATTACGCTATGAATTTTTTTTTATTAAAATAAAATATGGAATTCTTAAATGACGATTAACTCATAAATACCTGTGTGGTAATCCTGCAATTCTCGCAGCACGTAAGATGGTATCCCACTTAATGGTAGGATCATTAGAAATATGATCTTCTGAATTTACATGCTCGGTTGTAAAGTAAGAATCTTTTGAATTTATGTGATCATGATGTTCTGATGTATCAGATAAATGTTGTTCCGAATCAGATATCTCCATTTCCTGTCTATCCCTATTCCCGTAATTTAAAATCGCACCCATTAACTGATATTGAAAAGCTATTGTGCAATTAAAGAATTTCTTTACTAACCGATGAATTATACTATAAATTTCATTTTGTTCTTTAAGTATTGGTATTATTAAATCGTAAACATTACAATAATATTCATCTAAGTAAAGCTTACTCATGTTGTATGACGGTCTGATGTAAGGACCCAACAGCATCTAGAATTTTCCTTAATGCATCTTCAACCGCGAAAGTGGTGCAACACTTTTGTATGTTAGACATATAATCATCAGCTTTATTCTGATCGGAAACTGGAGGTTGAGAACGTTTCTTTTGATCTGACGCTGAAGTTGGAGATTGAGGACGTATTTTTTGCTCATTCAAACTGTTCATTATATGTGTGATGGATATTACTTCTTGTTCCAAAAAACTATATTTCTTAGTTAAGCCTTTATAAAGTGGTTTGAATTTCCTTTTTGGATCATCAGGTAATAATGCAATGGATGCATTTGCATCTGCACTTTCTGAAATTGTCATTGAATCAGAATTTTCTTGATCTGTTTGATCTGTCCAGTCAAATGGTTCACATTTCTGTGGTTCCCTTTTAATGTGTTGAAATGTTAATAATATCGATTGGAATCAAATAATTTTGTTTAGAAAAGTTGACCCACCGTCCTAGATTTTCCTTCAACTCGGGCCATCGTATTTTATCATTAGTACCTGAACATTTACTACAATAAATAATGTATTCCTTAATAAGTCATGTTTTTCAAAATTATTTTTTAACAGGATAGTAGTAAATGAATAAATTACCTCAAAGTATAGGCATCATCTGAGTGGCTGTATTTAAGTAAATGTTTTGCAAAATTTAAATCAGACTCATCAATTTTAAGAGAAATAGCAGGCAGTGGCCTTGTTATAGTATCTTCCGACGATATTTGCTCTGGGTCGTATCCAGGTGGGTATTTGAACATTACATTCCTATCACGATCTCGTGACCAAGTCTTTTTCTCATACAAACGTTGAAAACATCGTTCAATTTTTTCAATTAGTTTTGTATCATCAGATTTCTTTTTAAGCTTTTTGAGAGCTCTTAATCCTTTGACATGTTTGTCTGGTCTTAACTCATAAAATTTCTGAGCAATTGCAAATGGAGTTCTATTTGTGAATACGTTTGTAGCCAACCAATCCCAAAACATTGTAGGATTTTTCCAGAACACATCTACATTTGCTTCGATACAATCCATTAACAAGTGTATCATATCGCATGACCAATATTGCTGGACTCTTGGGCCGAACGAATAAATTGGTATACCATCATCAGTTCTCTTTAATTTAAAACACAGATCTGGTGACTTTTTAGATTTAAATGGCTGGACAAGTGTTTCATATTCGGAATCAGTTATACCATCATCTATGAATTAATCGAATTCATTTTCGTTAGTACATAATATTAAAACATATATTATACGATATTGTAGTTTTTTAAACGTCATATATACTACCTGTAGTATTTCTATCATGGGAGTATTTTGCTCGTTTAGCTTTTAAGTTTGAGGAGGAGTTTACTTGTTCATTGTCATCCATAGAATCAATATTTTGAGAAAAACGCTTCTTAGGTTCGGAAGTTCCTTTTAAAATAATATACTCTTCTATTGGTCGATGACCAAATATTTCATGCATCCTATCATATGCAGGAAATTTTCTTGGCTTTACGTCTTTGATACCTATCTCTTTATTTTTTCTAATTTTTGAGTAAGTAGCTACGAGAGTATTTAATTTCTTTTCTATTTGATAACTTGTATAATTTTTTTCTAAAACCTTTGCTTTTTCAATAAATTTACAAAACTCGCGTTTGCAAATTCTCCACTCTTCATAATTGGCTTCAACATAATCAAGTAAAATCATGAGCTCATTATCAGTCCATAGTTTATTAGATCGTATGTTTAAAGACTCATTGTCAGAAAAAGCTGAAAGGTGACTAGTTTCGACAGGTGATGGAGCCTCAGTCGCGCATTCGTCGTCTGAAATAACTATAATAGGTGGATTCCGTTCCGTTGACTTCGTAGTCGAGGCCAAATATTTTTCTGGGTGAACATATTGTGGTATTAAAACTTTTCTTGTTGAATCAAAAATTAACGGGAATTTAGTTTCGTCATGAGTTAGCATTGCCATTAGGAGTTAAGTTTTGTGTATTTTAGACATGGAAGTAAAGTTGATTATCGTTATCAGAAAATTTTCTTGTGTTACGTATCCAATTTCTTGAAACCGAATGTTTATCGGTTGAAACTTCAGTTTAAATCACAAGCAAAAGTATGAATTTCCAGTTTGAAAATAACTACTCTTTGGGAAATTTTATCATTACAGAGAAATGAATTTCTCTCGGTAACCTTTTATTTGCATACGCATATGCGATTTTTTTTTTAAGTGAAAATATCTCAATAACTTAAAGTGCCAACACTGTCTTTTGTTATAACATTAGTCATTATGAAATAACGTGTAAATATCGCCCAATTATTAAAATATATTTAAAACTTAAAAATAATTTTGTATGATCTTAACTATGTGGGGGTGAATTGTTTTTATTGAATTTTTTTTAAAACTTTAAATGCTAATAACTTAACAAAAACTTGATCAAATTCAATAAATAAATTCTATAAGTTTATAGAATTGATTTAAAAAATTTTTTATTAAACTTGATTAAGTGTTGTTAGTTATCATTATTCAAAGTAAATTTGCGTTATTTCTATTGACTCAACCCCATATATTTTATAAAAGTGAAAAAGTTTGGTAATTTTAATAGTAATTATAATACTGTAATAAAATTATAAACGATGTTTTATAAGTTCTCATGCCATATGAAAATTTTCAAACTTTTTTTTACTTAAAATCGATAAAAAATTTTTTATTTTAGCTATATTAAACAATAAAATTAGGTAGTTATTGCTCAAAGTTTGGAAAAAACTTAGCCACGATCTTTGTTTTGCTAATTGCCTAAATTTTTATTTGAACTTTTAGGTATGATATCTCTGTAGAAACTTTATAAAAAAAAAATTATTTTAATTCTATTAATCCATAGAATAAAAAAAAAAAAATTCATAGATTTATCTAGATATCGCGCTCAAAGTTCAAAAAAATTAAGGCATTATCAAAACAAAGACCATTCCAAACTTTGAACAATGATATCTCAATAACTAACTACTTATATAAATCGATGGAATTTTTTTATTTTAATTTATTGATTCATATAATTAAATAACAAAATCTACATTGATTTTAAATTGGGATATTTTCATTCAAAGTTTCATCACAGGTAGTGCTCCGAACGGGTCGGTTCGGGTCGGGTTATAGGCCAATCCGAACCTGACCCGAAATTTCGGTTCGGGTCGGGTTAGAGCTTCAACCCGAACCGAACCCGACCCGAACCCGACCCGACCCGAACCCGACCCGAACCCGACCCGATTTTTTAAGGCCAACTTACCAAAATTTTAAATTTTACTAGTATGTAACCCACTAA